TGCCACTGGGGAACAAAGTAAGGTCGCTCCAGTGACAGCTTCAACCGAGCTATGCCATCAGAACTTGGAAAATTGTTTTTCTTTTTTTTTTGTTTTGAGTTTTCTTTTTTTTTCCCTCTTTCTCTCTCTCCAATATAATTCATTCGAACCAAAAAGGTTTTATGTGGCTGTCTGCAGGCTGGAACTAAATGCTGCAGATTGAAATCTCAACTGTGACCTATAGCTGTGGCAAACTGTGAATCTGCTGCAGAGCTGCCCATCAAGCCTTTCTCCCCCTCGTTCTCCAGATTCTCTCTCTGTTCTTTTCTCGATTGTTTTTCTCCTCTGTTCCATCTCTTGTTTTTCTTTTGCTATCAGAAAAAAAGATCAGATCAGCCTTTTGTTAAGCTATTTTATATTCCTGTGAAAACGCAGTGTAAATACAACACAGGCTTTTTATATATATATTTGTTTTTCCATTCAACATTAATATTTCCGTAACCTGTCGCACCTTTAAAGGTTTGAGCTCTACTTTCTGTACTAATTCCATATTACATTAGATTTCAGTTTAGGCTATTGTTTTTACATGTGGATTGTTAGCTTTAAGCTTTATACTGTATTCACATATAGATCAGTGGATTAGAGTACAGTACAGTAGTAATACTACAGTACAACAAATAAAATAGAAACGTCCCTTTCTTAGCCAAAGTTATCTCTGAGTTTAGAGAGAGCGAGCCCTTAACTGAAACTATCTTAACAATGTGATATTTACTAAGTCTGACTTGGATTTTACATTTAAATTAATCTGCCCCAGATTAAAATTTGTATCTTTTTGACTGATGTAATCTGACAGTTAAGATGCAGTACTTATATTGACACAAAACGTTTATATTGAATGCACTTTAAATCACTGGGCAGTTTCTTCAGTCATAAAACAAAATATATTTGTTTTCTTAGTTCTTTTTTTTAAAATGTTTATATAGATTAAGGTCTAACAATCACATTGTTACCATGAAGCACCTTAAAATATTTTAGTTTATTGTTATGTTATATATCTATGATGACATAAGAGTTGTTTGTTTTTTGTTATATGCGGCATCAAATGCTCCAAAGTTAGCTAAGGACAATTGAAAAGATGGTAAAATAAGTGTTTGAAACGTATTTCCAAAAAAAAGTTACCTAATTTTTACCTGGATTTTTTTTTTACCTGGAATTGATGAACGTGCACATCATGGCCTTGTGAACAATGAACAGCTGACTCGGCAAATTGACAAGCAGACGACAATAACTCTTGTATCGACATCATATGAACTGTGCAAAAAAAAAAGACTGGAATATGTGTTTTAATTGGACGTGTGTACGATCATGTGGGTTATGATGTCATACGATGACTTGTGTGGAGATGTGATTTTTACCAATGTGTGGAGATCGTTTGTTTGACAAACTGTCAGGATGATGATGGAAAAGACAGACGGAGACAAGACTAAGGAATTAGCAGCATTTGCACAAAGAGAAGCTCCATGTGAGGTCACGGTCGTAAATCTTGAGCAACCGGATGGTGACATATTGTTGATGTCCTTGTTCCTAAAAGTTGAGTTTTCAAACCCTTGGCTCCCCCACCCCCTCTGTACAAAGAAACGTGAGCTGTATATCTGCAGGCGTGTATTTAAAAGTGCACGTGCTTTAAAAGACAAAAAAGACTTTTGCCTGGGCAAAGGCACCTCGCTGAAATTCTGACGCGTTGTTGCGTACTGTGTTTGTGTTTGATACCTTAACGTCAGATGCCAAATGGTGTGTGGTTTCAAAGGCTGGTTCCCTGGAGCGTGGTTAAGCTTAATCAATTTCCCTAAGAACCTCTTTTTTTTTACTTGAAGGAAAAGCTGCATGAAAACTCTGATTTCTTTTTCTTGTTTTTTTGTTTTTTTGTTTGTCTGTTTGTTTTTAAAGCCCAGATTTGGTTTAGTCTACAATGACAAAGCTAATGTCTTATCAGATGAGACCAGTGACTTGAAAAGCCACAGATGTGAATGGAAACCTTTAACCAGTTGGAGTCCACAACAATGCCAAAACTTTTATTACTGTTACATTCGTGTGGTAACAAAAGGTGAAGCTCAGTTTTTAAAACTTCTCCGTGTAAAAAAAAACAAACCTCTAGGTCGTCATTCCCCAGATTTAAAAAAAAAAAAGAAAAGATTGGATGGAAAATGCACACTTGTCAAGATAATGGCGAATCTTCTTCCTGTTGTGTGTTTTTGGTGTGTGTTGCTTCACAAGTGAAGTTGCTCTATGTTGCTTTTTCAGACTTTGATTGAGGGGTCGCAAGCAGGGGGGTGATCAGTTTGTAGCTTCACTGTAGGGGGGGGACAAGATGAATAACATCTGTTTTTGAGCGTAAGGCTTTTTTGGAATTGCGCTTGTGTCGCAGCCACAGATACACTGTCAGTTACTTAGAAGCAAGACAAACGAGAGAAAGGCGTTGAAAGACCTATTTTTCTCAAGGTACCAGTAACTTTGTATACAATCCACAAACCGGTTCTACTTCATCTAACTTCACCGTCCTACCTCATTGTTACTCTGGTGTTTGTTTGTCAGTGACTGTAATCTATGTGTATATTAGTAACGAAAAAAAAACATATATATATAGGTAAAAGTAAACCTGGTTACTCTCAACATTTATAGCATATAAAACCTGTAAAACACCTCAGTACAGAAATATCATTCTTAAGAGAAATCACTTTTATTACTAGCTTCTACATGCTGCTGTAAGGGGGCGTCCGTGTGTGAGGGGTGGTCTCAGAATATCTCTCTCTCTCTATATATATATATATATATATAAATATATCTATATTCCTTCGCTCTTTGCTATGTCGTGCAGTCGGTCAGTGCTCGTGTCCTGTCTCTGTATTGCATTCTGAGATTTCTACTGGTTGACGGTGCTACCAGCAAACAGTTCAACAAACTGATCTATTGGACCTCAAATGGTGCTGTTTTCTATGTTTTACACACGTCTATGTGTTAATCAGGTGTGTCGACCGCCGCCGCCAGCCCCTCGGCTCAACCGATTTTAAGCCAAAATGTTTTTTCGCTAAACCAATAACCCTGCTTTTACTGTATCAGCTATTATGATATCCATCCAAATATTGTAGATAGTTATTATATCCTCAGCTGTGACTTTTCAGAAGTACCTCAGACTTTGCTGACTTTCAGTGGATGCATCTGCTTCTAGGACCTGTCGTCCACCAATATTTACATTGTTGCAGTATATTTTCAGATATATGCATTTTTACGGTTAGATCAGGTTACACTATGTGTAGTACAGGATTATCAACACTTACACTCAGATGACCATTGGAATACCACTGTTCACTGGTTACATGTCAGGTTGTCTTAATGGAAACCTCAGTGGGACTGGGCTGTGTGTGTGTGTGTCACCATAGAAGAAGTCCTCAGCTCAACGAATACACATCGATGTACACAGTGTGTAGTTCTTTACACAAAACTCAGATTCTGTTAATAGATGTTTTTTTTTTTTGTTTTTTTTTGTCAAAATATGAAATTTGTTTGACACAAAAGTTGCAGCCATTGCATTGGTCGGGTGCATTGTCATCAGTTGCTAAGAACTGCCAATTTTGAAATCAACAACTCTGTTCACTTGCCATCCTGACCTGTCAGTCCACATTTGTTCAGACTATCAATGTGTCAGTGATTAACATACTGTGAGTTAGACCATGAGGTACAGACCCATGTGTATTACCTGAAGTATGATGCATCAGAGTGCATTGTATTGTTGGTCATCCATTGCAGTGATACCAATGGAATCTTCTCTGCACCAAAGTCTTTATTGTGTGTCTTTGTTTCCTTGTCTCTCTCTCTTCTTCTTTTTCTGTCTGTAAACATGAAATGTTGCTGAGCAGTTTGTTCCTGCTGTGAGCAGACTGTACACAGAGTCAGTTAAATGGAAGCACTTAAGCCATCCATTGGACTGTTTTCATAACGGTTCACTTGTAAGGTTGTACTCTGGGCCTCTGATGTGACCCAGAGCGTTTGGTGTGTAATTGAATTCCTATGCAGGTGTGGAGATGTAATCACCGTGCGTACCATATCACCGTTGGGTGGAAAGGTCAACCACGGAGGTCGGGTGACAGGCCGGTGGTTGAGAAACCTTAACATGCGTTTGCACGTTCTTGAGTTTGAATCAGAACCTAACGGTGATGTGACAGTTTCATCTGGGACTATTGCTACATTTCCTCCCCATTTCCTCAGCCATTCAAGGCTGCCTGGGTACAACAAGTCTGTGATCGTTGTAACAGCTCTGCGATGACTACAAGGGGAA